ACCCGCAGGGTTACATACACAGACCAGCTCCCAGGACCCTGTCACTCCCACACAGAACAGAAACCCCAGAGCACACCAGACACCATGCCTGGATCCACAGCCAGCCCAAGAGGCTGTGATGAAATGGATGGAAATGCCCAGCACCCAGTCAGGAAGACGTACTTCCCTCGGGCTGCTCTTCTCATGCATAGATCCAGTGCTCAGCCGTGTCCTCCCAGCAAGTCAGTTCCTCTGGGCGGAACCAGAGAGAGATCTCCTGCCGGGCACTCTCAACCGAGTCGCTGCCATGGATCACGTTCCTGGGTGGGAGCAGGAAAGAGAAAGGGGTCAGCAAGCACTAAGCAGAGAAAGCTGGGAAAGGGAAGCTGCAGTTAGGAAAACTTTCAGTTATACTAATTTAATTAAACCGATTAAGCCAGTAACATCCTACAATATTCTTACTCATCACACAATCCTCCTCCTGCCAGCCCAGGGGCTGTTTGTGGTTGAACATAGCTTAGGTCATGGATGTGCAGGAGCTGCCAATTCCCCACAGTCCCTTCTCTTACAATGAGGAACCATTTGTTTACCACAGGAGCTGCAAGCAGCTGTTGATCTGGGGTTTGCCTTGGTTACTTATCAGTAATTCAAGTTTTGCCCCTCTTCTGTCAGAGTAGGTCCATTGAAGCAGGCTTGGCATAAGACACTGCAGAACAGAATCCAAAGCCAGGAGGGTTTGATAAAAGCAGTGTCTGCCACCAGCCAGGCTGCAGCCAGCCAAGGTGGTGACCTTCACCACAGAGTGAACCTTTGCTGGTGAAAAGCCCCAGCACATGCAAAGCTCCTGCTCAGCTTTCCTCAAAATCTCAGATGGAGCTTGAGCAGCTCTCCTGTTCCCCCAGAAAAGGGCTGGGAGGGCTCCTCCCCTTGCCTTAGAATCACAGAACAGTTTCAGCTGGAAGAGACCTTGAAGACCATCGAGTCCAGCCTTTGTCCTGGTTGTCCTGCATGTGCTGCATAATGGAACTCAGGATGATCTGCTCCATCAGCTTCCCTGGGAGTGAAGTCAAACTGCCTTCTTCACAGCCTCACAGCCTCACTTACTTTTCAGAGGCCTCAGGAGGCAGGAGAGACACAAACACAGGCTTCTCCTTCAGGCAAAGCCAGCCCTAGACCATCGAGTCCAGCCTTTGTCCTGGTTGTCCTGCATGTGCTGCATAATGGAACTCAGGATGATCTGCTCCATCAGCTTCCCTGGGAGTGAAGTCAAACTGCCTTCTTCACAGCCTCACAGCCTCACTTACTTTTCAGAGGCCTCAGGAGGCAGGAGAGACACAAACACAGGCTTCTCCTTCAGGCAAAGCCAGCCCTGGGAATCAGAGGTCAGCTCTTCCTGGCAGGGCTGCTCTGCAAACTGCCAGAGGGAGACAGCTCTGATCTGAGCAGAGAAGGCAGAAGCTCCACCCTGCAAATTCAGACTGGCATGGCTTGGGCAGGGCCTAATGCCTGGACAGGATACCCTGAAATACCAAGGGAATAAAAAGCCAAAGCTCTCACTTGCTGACTTCAACACAGAAGTCCCCTCGGATGGTGCCAGGCCTGGATTCAGCTGGGTCAGTCTCCCCAATCATTGTACGAACTGTCTTGACCACATCAAGGCCCTGCCAGACCTACGTGAGAGCAAAACAAGAATCAACACCCATAACTCCCCCAGCAGATTGTATTGTCTGTCCTCTAAATTCCTCATCTGATCCACCTGGGTGAGAGACAGGAAAGAGCCTCTTCATAAATAGTCTTCTGTGGTTGAATAATCAGAACTGTCTGTGGATTTAATTTACCACAGCAAGTGTCCTGGCAGTTCCGTACAGCCTTGTTTCCACCGCACTGCAAACCAAGGCTGCTCAAACACTGCACTCACTTTCTGTTCCCTGGTTATGGAGAACTTGGTCAGCACTCACCATGGCCACTACAGGCCCAGAGCTCATGTACTTCACCAGCCGGCTGTAGAAGGGACGGTCACGAAGGGCAATGTAGTGCTCTTTCAGCAGCTCCTCCGAGGCCTGGGACCAAAGAACACCAAGATTAATCTGCTCGGAGCAGGTCGGGATTTAGGCAAGAGAGATGCAGGAAAAGCTGGATAGTGCACATTACATCTGTGCTCACTGCTGGGAGCGACAGGGCTTTATTCGGCTGCAGGTTGATGCACGGAGGGGCGAAGTTTCTAGGCTAGAGGAGCAACACCCCCCTGCTCACAGCAGCCAAGTACCAAAGCCATGGAGCACAGACAGAGGCATGCTCCTCACAACCAGAATCACCCCTCCAGAAGCAGTGTGCGCACCTGGGTACCAACACCCCTCTGACCTGCGAGAACGGGGAGCCCCAGGGACACAGGAGAAGGTGGGCAGAACCCCCCGAGGGGCAGAGCCAGGGCTACTCAGCACCGGGGGCCCCCAGCCCTGGCTGCTCACCTGCAGGAGCTTCATCCCCACCAGCTGCAGGCCCTTCCTCTCGAACCGCCGGATGATCTCCCCGACCAGGTGCCTCTGGACACCGTCCGGTTTGATGGCCACGAAGGTCCGCTCGCTGGCCCC